CACGGCAAAGCGTGGGATAGACCCGCTCGCCTCGCAAGCATTCGAGCTTTTATTACCACCGACAAAGCGCAGGCACAGCCGACACAGCTGTAGTAGCCCCCGCTGACTTCTTTTACTGAGGTTATATTTATCGGGGTTTTATTTCCTGATGTTCTTATGTGTCCTACGTGTTTCAGTCGCCAATTCTGAATTAGAATCAGAATCAGAATCAGAATGGGGTTTATTGCCAAATGTTGAGCAGGTTTACAACATTAGGAAATTGCTGCGGTGCTTCAGTGCAAACATGGTGTCATAAATAACACTTAAATAGACATGGAAAAAATAAAAGTAGGGATAAGAAATTAAAAGTGCTACGTGGAAAGATATGTGCATGAGATATACATGAGATATATACATGAGAGTAAGAATTAAGAGTGCTACGTTGAAAGATATATACATGAGTGCAGGTGGTGATCAGTGCCAAACATGGAATGATACAGTGAACACAGCGTAGGGTCATGTGTTAGTGGCGGGGACAGTCATATGGTTATTGTTCATGTGTCCAACAGCAGAGGGGAAGAAACTGTTCTTATGGCGAGAGGTTCTGGTGCGGATGGACCGGAGCCTCCTGCCTGAGGGGAGCAGGTCAAACAGACTGTGTCCAGGGTGAGAAGGGTCAGCTGAGATCCGAGCTGCACGCCGCAATGTCCTGGAGGTGTACAGGTCCTGCAGAGATAGGAGTCTGCAGCCAATCACCTTCTCAGCAGAGCGCACAACATGCTGCAGTCTCTGTTTGTCCCTGATAGTGGCTCCAGCGTACCACACGGTGATGGAGGAGGTGAGGATGGACTCGATGATTGCAGTGTAGAATTGCATCATCGTCCGTGTTGGCAGGTTGAATTTCTTCAGCTGCCTCAGGAAGTACATCCTCTGCTGGGCTTTCTTGATGACGGAGGTGATGGTGGGCTCCCACTTCAGGTCCTGGGTGATGGTGGTACCCAGGAAGCGGAATGAGTCCACAGAGGTGATGGGGGTGTCAGTCAGGATGATGGGGGGGAGTGGGGCTGTGTGCTTCCTGAAGTCCACAATAATCTCCACTGTCTTCTGGGCATTCAGCACCAGGTTGTTGTGGCTGCACCAGGACACCAGACGTTCAACCTCCCTCCTGTAGGCAGACTCATCCCCGTCCGAGATGAGTCCGATAACGGTGGTGTCATCTGCAAACTTGATTAGCTTGACAGACTGGTGGGTGGAGGTGCAGCAGTTGGTGTACAGGGAGAAGAGCAGAGGAGAAAGAACACAGCCCTGAGGGGAGCCGGTGCTGATGGTCCGGGAGTCCAAGACATTCTTTCCCAGCCTCACATGCTGCTTCCTGTCCGTCAGGAAGTCAGTGATCCACCGGCAGATGGGATCAGGCACATTCATCTGGGAAAGCTTGCCTCGGAGATGGTCTGGAAGGATGGTGTTGAAGGCAGAGCTGAAGTCCACAAACAGGATCCTGGCGTAGGTTCCTGGGGAGTCCAGATGCTGCAGGATGAAGTGTAGGGCCATGTTGATGGCGTCGTCTACAGACCTGTTGGCTCTATATGCAAACTGCAGGGGGTCCAGGAGGGGGGCCGTGAGGGTCCTGAGATGGGAGAGAACTAGGCGCTCAAAGGACTTCATGACCACAGATGTCAGAGCCACGGGTCTGTAGTCATTTAGTCCAGTGATCCTAGGTTTCTTGGGGACAGGGATTATGGTGGAGGACTTGAAGCAGGCAGGCACATGACATGCCTGCAGTGAGAAGTTGAAAATGCCAGAAAACACTGGGGCCAGCTCGTTTGCACAGTGTCTGAGGGTGGCAGGAGACACACCGTCTGGGCCGGGAGCTTTCCGAGCATTCAGGTTCTTAAACTGCTTCCTCACATCTGCTTCATGAATATGAAGAGTTGTGGTGGGAGGAGGTGGTGTGAAATCCTCTTTTGTGTGGGGTGAGGAGGGGGGTGTTGTAGGTGAACGGTTTGAAGGTGGTGATGGCTCTATGGAGGGGGGAGAGGTGGGGGAATTAGTGTCCAAAGTGTCTCTATTGTTGGGGCCGTTGGAGGTGTGAAGGCTGCCTGATGGCTCGTCAAAACGACAGTAAAAGTCGTTGAGGGTGTTGGCCAAGAGCAAGTCATCAGTGGAGTGGGGGGTTTTAGGCTTGTAGTTTGTGATATTCCTAAAACCTTTCCACACAGAGGCCGAGTCATTCTCTGAGATCTGCTGCTGCATCTTCTCAGAGTGCTGATGTTTAGCAATGTCCACTTCTTTAGTGAACTTGTACTTGGCCTCTCTGTAGCAGTCCCTGTCTCCGCTTCTGAACGCCTTTCTCTTTTCCAGCCACAGCTTTTTGAGTTTAGGAGTAAACCAGGGTTTGTCATTGTTATAACTCACCCTGGTGCGTGATGGCACAATGCTGTCCTCACAGAAGTGGATATAGGAGGTGACAGTGTCCGTAAACTCGTCCAAGCTGTTAGAAGCAGCCTTCAATGTGTCCCAGTCTGTGGTCTCCAAACACGTGCGAAGCTCCTCCACAGCCTCGTTGCTCCACAGTTTTTTAGTCCTCACGACAGGTTTGGAGAGCTTCAGCCTCTGTCTGTACGCGGGGATTAGGTGGATCATGACGTGGTCAGAAAGTCCGAGTGAAGCGCAGGGCACCGCGCGATAGGCCCCGCTGATCGTGCTGTAATAGTGGTCCAATGTCCTCTCCTCTCTGGTCGGGCATTTAATATACTGCTTGTATTTTGGAAGCTCATGGCTCAGATTGGCTTTGTTAAAGTCCCCAAGAGCAATGATGAGAGAGTCCGGGAATGTCCGCTCCATGTGCAGTATCTGCTCCGCGAGTGCGCACTGAGCTGCCTGCGCATCTGCGTCTGGCGGGATGTAAACAGCGGCCAGGATGAATGAAGCAAACTCCCGCGGAGAATAAAACGGTTTGCAGTGAATAAAAAGGTATTCCAGAGAGGGAGAGCAGTGCTGAGCAATCACTGTTACATCTGTGCACCAGCCACTATTGATGTAGAAGCAGAGACCTCCACCTTTGGACTTACCGGAGAGAGCGGCCTGCCGATCCGCGCGCAGCAGATGGAAGCCCTCCAGTTTGAGCGCGCAGTCTGGGATGTTCTCACTGAGCCACGACTCCGTAAAACATAAGACACAGGAGGAGGCAAAGTCTCTGTTCATGCTTCTCATCAGGGCCAGTTCGTCAATCTTATTCCCGAGTGAGCGAACATTAGAAAGGAAGATCCCAGGAAGAGCGGTTCGCAGTCCGCGTCTCCTCAAATGCACGAGTGCGCCGGCTCGCTTCCCTCTCTTTCGGCGTCTCGCTTTCCTGGTCAGAGTCAGCAGTAAATCTGCCGCAGATGCGACAAATATTGGAAATAAATCCACAGGCGTTGTAGTCCTGTAGTTAAGGAGCTCTTCTCTGGTGTAAGAATATCCAGAGGAGTGCCCAGACACAGAAGAAATGCACAAAAACAAAACAAAAGTAACGCACTGAAGCACCAGGGCGACCATCCGCGGCGCCATCTTGGTTATATATATCTAACTATCTAACGAATTATAACTAACATTAAAAACATGTTTAAGGAGGAGAGAGAGAAAATAAATTCGATTAACATCTGATGTTTGGGTTTTTGTTCAGTAATCAGCGTGACCTGTGTATAAACGCATAAAAGAGATAACGTTGGTGTTTCCGTCATGTAGTAACTGCTGGCTTTAACTGTACAAAGGTTGTTCGACACTATGAAACACATACAGACTTCATGATGTTCGGCTAATATTTTTATTGTGAATATTAATCATGAGGGTAAACGGACCTGTATACCACAGAGTGAAGTCAGCATATCCACGATATCTTCAGCTCTATGAGTTAACACAGTTTCCCAGCTGACTAATCTAACGGCCATCTACGAATATGTCACGGGTCATATCAATATGATTTTACAGAAAATCATCCTTATTACTGCCAACTATTCCAGAGACGTGAAAATCTACACCATAAAGAACAAAAAAATATAGCAGTCTAACGCAACACTGTAACAAAGATGAACCGTCAGTTTGTCACAGATCAAAGTGTGAATGAAAGTGATTGGTTGAACAGGTGTCCGTGATGTGTGTTTTCTGCATTTTCATCAGCATAAGAGACTCAGCAGCAGATTAGAATAACATTTATACATTTAATAAATCACCAAATGAATACACGATCTAACCTGTTCCGACAATTTGAGTTTGTGTTCTCTCAGCTGCAGACTCGCTGCTGTTTAAATGTTTGAGAGGAAGATTAGATATAATGCAAACATCAAGCTGTGTGCCGGTGATTGAACATGAGCACTTTTGCAAACATGTTCTATGTTGACAACCTGACCAGACATGTGAAGATTACGTTGCGACATTCGCAGCTAAAACACTATTAAAAGTGTAGTTGGTGACAGAAAAACGGGGTATTTTAAAACTACACCACCACCATTGCTGCCTGTGATTTGAAATGCATTCTGGGATACCTGGCTGCCCCAAGTCTACACAAGCAATCGATTATCTAGGATCGACCTGTCTTGACTTACTTTGCACGGCAACCAATCAAATGTTAGAGAAGCTGCATGGCAGCGTTAACCCCGCCCACTTGGTTTGATGGGTGAGGCTGACAGATAAAATTATTTCAAGGAGCGAGATAAAGGGGACTAAAGTGCCAAAATGAATTAAATAAATAAATCATTAAATAATTAATTAATTAAAACTGTCAATAATTATTAATTAATTAACTACATGTGTCGTAAATATTTATGTAATTAATTATTGCCACATTTAAATATTATTTAATGGTGTATTAAATTAATTCATTTTGGCAGTCCTGGCGTTCCATATTGGCTCATTAAAGTTCTTGTCTTTAGATTAACTTTGTCTGCGTGTAATCGTGATACAGCCAGCGACGCTGTGCAACTAAGTCACGTGACCAGAAACCAACAAGTCACGACAGAGCAGGAAGAAGGGGGCGGAGCAAATGTGTGCAGGAGAGGAGTCGAGCAGAGAGAGCTGCTTTTTCATGAAACGGGAGTAAAGTAGTGAACTTAGAGGAGAGAAACAAACTAAAGTATCGATCATAAACCACTACCAACGTCCTGATCGATATCTGCATCGATCTGCCCACCCTTGTCTCCTGGATCGTAGCTGAGATCAGCGTGAACCACGTGGGTCTCTGCTCCCTGATCTGTTTCCTGTGTTTGGAAAGAGTTGCAGCTTCATCGCGGAGTTTCTCTCGGTTTGTGGGCTCATCTAAAGGTAAGCACCGAGCTAACTTTACTGTGAGTTCAGTTCATGTTGAGTTTAGCTCCTGAATGAGGTCTTCTGCTGCTCTCCTCGGTGTCTGTTCACAGTTTATTGTGAACACGTTGAGAGAAGAGTGAGAGAGTGTTTGGAGAAAAACACCAACTAATCATTAGCTCAGCATGCTGGGAGAAGTTGGAGCAGAAAAGTCTTTTCATTGTCCCTGCAGCTGTTTTTCTGCCTGCACCAAACCTCTACAGCCTTGTTTCTATTTGAAGTGATAACAGGAAGTCAGAGCGATCTGCTGCAGTATCAGGGTCACTATAACTTTATTGTCCAGCTGCTGTGGATGAACACATGAGAGGAAGTGAACTCCTACAAAGTCTCATTTCAATGACTGTGGCTGCTGTAAAGTGATGCACAGGAAGATGTTAACAAAAACTAATGAAACAGACGAAAGTAAACAGTGTTCATATTTGAAAGCACAGAGAAAAAAAATATATTGTGGTGGTTAATGTGCAGCTCTTTTTGATTTGGGAGAAGAAGAATGTTTTTATCGTGTTGTGGATTGAATGTTGGATTTTATTTTTATTTGTTGTTTACAGAAAACAGAAGTTTTGTCCACTTGTGGTTTACGATGGAGACTTTGAGTCTGGTCCAGCTGCCTTTTGGGGGTTCTGTCTCTTAAAGAGTATTTACATCTCTCATGTAGGGAGGGAGGACCCATGGAGGGTGCAGACACTGTGAAGTAGTGATGAGGTCCAGGACATGTTTTATAATCACGGGGGTTGCTGAAGGTGTTGAAAGTCTTGGGTGGGGGGTAACAGGTCATTGTTGGTAGAATCCACAGCAGGAGCTGTTCAGGCTGTTGGTGTGCACTGTTGGTGCAGTGGGGTCTTTAGGTTTGTGGTTGGTTCACGTTCTGAGTGTTTTTCAGACAGAAGCAGAGTCGTTAGATGAAAACAGGTTTGGGAAAGTCTGAGGAACTTGGAAAGAAAAGCGTCTGGACTTCTTTAAGTTGCTTGAAGACATTTAACCTCTCACCCGAGAAGCTTCTTCAGTTCTAAGGTCAGATGGTGGAGATTCTCAGATTTAAACCCTAAAAGGACCCCCTGATGATCCTCTACCTAATCACATGAGCCAAGGTGTGAAAATGGGTGTGGGTCACAATCAGCCAGGTCATTGTGAAACCTGGCCCCACCCTATCATGTGATTTCCTGAGGTCAGATGGCCCAGGATGTGAGTGGGCGTTAAGGCGTCTTATAAAGAAAGTGACTGGACTTCTTGTGTGGCTCGGTGCTGTCCCTGTTAAAGAGCCAAGAGCCTTTCTTTCCACTTCCTCCATGTAAAGTTTGGCTACAATGGGACACACTGGGGAGCTCACAGCACATCCATGTTTGTGTCTGTAGAAACCTTCGTTGTATTTAAAATATGTGGTGGTAAGGCAGAGGTCTAACAGTGTGCAGACCTGATCAGGGTGAAGCTGGTTCTGGTTTTAAGGAGCTGTCTTGTTGTAGTTGTTTCCTGACAGTCTCCACTGCCTCGGTTGGAGGTGTACAAGTGAAAAGTGAGACCACATCAAAGGACACTCTGGTTTCATCTGGATCAAGTGTAAGTTTGTGGACCCACAAGTGGAGCTAGGATGGTGATGTGTTTTTGCTGCTACCAATGAGTCTGAGTGGGACTCCATCTTTGTGTATCTATGGAAGTCCATATATACAGGGTGCAGCATCCACCGGGTAAAGGTGGTGGTATGCAGGGAGCTCAGTGGCTTTTTTCAAGTTCTTGTAGGCAGCTGATGACTTTCTTTTTGCTTCTGGGGTTTCACCTTGAAGCTTCATAGGTATTGTTGTCACTGAGTGTAGTAATGTTTATTTGCTCTGCTTCTTCTTGTCAGGGATAAAATACATATCTATACTTTTGTGTCCCAGCTGAGTAACAGGAGGAGAAGAGTCTGGTGGAGCAGCAGAGGAACAGTTTCAGCCATTTGGGCTCAGCTCAGCCACTACAGAGGAAACGATGACTTCAACACAGGAGGTGAGAAAAATATCTCAGCTACACTGTTATTGAAACTGTGTGCACAGCTGGTTGTTAACAACAGCTTTATCTTTTCCATCCTGGGCTCCTCCACACATGCAGAATGTACTTCATAAACAGAAACCACAGAATCCCCAAAAGTTGACTCTGTTCATTTTGATGTAGCGTTTCCAGTTGCAGATGATCCGTCACCACCAAGTCATTGGTTCAGGTATGTGGATGACACCTGGGTGAAAATCAAACTCAGCACGTACCACATTTCAGGCATCACATTAACTCGGTGCACCGACACATCAAATTCACCAGGGAGGATATGAAAAGTGGCAGGTTAGCCTTCTTAGCCTGTGAGATTTCTATCAGTAATGGGGAACATCTAAAAGCTGATGTTTACCCTAAACCTACGCATACAGATCAGTATTTAAGGTTTGACTCTCATCATCCACTGGAGCATGAACACAGAGCAAACACCATCCCTACTGACACAACGGCCAGGAAGTAGAAGAATATGCCATCAAGAAGCCCCTGAGTAAATGTGGTTATTCTAGCTGGACATTTGTCAAAACTGGGAAGGCACCTAAAGAAAGTTCCAGCTGATCCAGGTGAGAAGGACAACCGCTGCCTATGTAAAAACTCGATGTGATCCCATTTGTGTCAGGAGTATTGGAACCGCAGAGACTCATTTTTTCAAAACATCTTGGTGGCTTTTAAACCCCAAAACACGCTGCTCCAAAAATTGGTCCACCCCAAGGATCGGGTCCCCAGACACAAACAGAGTAAAACAACCTCTGGCTAAGAGGATGGCACAACACAGAAGAGCTGCTTCGTCAGGTCAGGACTCTGAAGTCTATTTAAACCTACAGGGAGGAACTCTGGTTTGAGTCAAGGAGGCCATTTACGTGAAAAGGGAAAGACCATCTCTGAATCGAGGAGGGGACCTAAGTATTACGCTGAAAAAAACCACAGAAGTTTCAAGAAAATATAAAGATCATATTTAATCAGCACACATTGAAACAATAGCATCAGTTGAACTCACAATTTTTCATCAAGTAAAAGATTTTTTTCCCGTGATCAATATTTCTTCAATAATGTCATTTTAATTCCAACTCTCATTGTAGCACATCATTGTAATGTGATAGTATTACCAGAAGGTGGTGGCAACACACCTACGACGTGTTTGTTGACATCTTTGATTCCACTAATGGAGTTTCAGTTTGTTCCACGACTGCATTTCACTCACTGCCTCTGTTTGTATCTCTGTCACTGCAGGACCAACATGGAGCGAGAAGTCAGCGCTCTCAGGAGGCCGACAAACCTCACAGAAGAACTGGACGGAAAAACTACAGCTGTGATGACTGTGGGAAGGGTTTTATCCGGGCCGACAGCTTAAAAAGACACAAACTCATCCACAGTGGAGTAAAAGCACACAGCTGTGACTTGTGTGGAACATCTTTTGCCCTGCCTGAAAATTTAAAAACACACCAAGTCATCCACAGTGGAGTTAAAGCACACAGCTGTGACTTGTGTGGAAAATCTTTTAACCTAGCTGGAAACTTAAAAACACATCAACTTACCCACAGTGGAGTTAAAGCACACAGCTGTGAGTTGTGTGGAAAATCTTTTAACCTAGCTGCAAACTTAAAAAGACACCAACTCATCCACAGTGGAGTTAAAGCACACAGCTGTGACTTGTGTGGAAAGTCTTTTAGCCTGGCTGAAAGCTTAAAAACACATCAACTCATCCACAGTGAATTTAAAGCATACTGCTGTGACTTGTGTGGAAAGTCTTTTACCCTGGCTATAAGCTTAAAAAGACACCAACTCACCCACTCTGGAATTAAGGCGTACAGCTGTGACATTTGTGGAAAAAATTTCAGCCAGCCAGGCAGCCGAAATATTCACCTACGGATTCACACTGGAAATGATGTTTACTGCTGTGATCAGTGTGGGAAACACTTTACAACAGCCACACAGTTACAGCGCCACATGTTTACCCACACTGAAGAAAGACCTTATAAATGTGACCTGTGTGATAAGACTTTTAAGTCTCCACGTCACCTGGAAAAACACCAACACGTCCACACCAGAAAATAACTCTACAAGTGCAGTTACTGTGAGGTATGTATTTATATTTTATTCCTGAATTTTAGCCTGAGTGTAACAAGTCTGATTAGGCGACGTTCAGGATCAAAATGTTGAAGGACTGACTTACACTGTGTTTGTGTCTTTGTTTTGAAGCAGAGCGACACAGATGGATCCAGTTCTCAACCCTGTCGTCACTGTGGTGGTGGGAAAGAGTTTCACTGTGACCTTTGTGGAAAAACCCTCAGTGATCAAGAGAGACTAATAAGACCTCAACGTAGACACACTGGAGACAAAATGAGCTACTGCAAAGAATGTGGGAGAGGTTTCACCACATCAAGTGCATTAAAAAACATGAACTCTGTCATAGTGGGGTCAAAAAGCACGTGTGTGACCAGTGTGGGTCAACCTTCATTACTGCAGTGCAGATAACATTAAAGTGCATAAACGCGTCCACACAGGAGACACCATACAAGTGCAGACACTGTGACATAAGCTTCTCGTGTTCAGGTAATCGTAACGTTCATGAACGTACACACATTGAACTTCAGCTGTGACCAGTGTGACAAGAACTTCAGACTCCACACACAAATGATCCCAAGCTGTAAATAAATGTGCAAAAACATTCACTTCATTATCTGCTCTGTGCAAACATCATCTGAACTTTACTGTTTTGGAGGGGGCAAACACAGTGTACAGATGACTGTTAACATGTGCTTGTCAGGCACTCTTTTTGGCTGTCGTGGTTTACACTTTACACTCTTTCATCTTCCTTCGTTTCTCACCTGTACCAACCATTGACTCTCATGGTCATTTTCCCCTCTCTCACGCTCACACACAACAGGAGGGGCAGCCCCACACATTCTCCCTGCAACACGGACTGTACGACCCACGAGGCTACATTGTTAAAGGTCTGTGCCTGTAACACTCTGCTCATATTGTCTTCATATTACTTTTTTTTTTTTAAATAATAATTTAAAAAAAAAATTCTTCACGTCGATATGCGGGCCCTGAGTTTGAGACCCGTTTTAATCTTTGTTCCCTTAGAACATTAGTAGTTGTACTTTTTACTGTATTATAAAAGTTATAGGAATGTGTAGCTTGTTAACAGAGATTTGCCGTGTTGTGGCGTTAAGGTTATTTCAACGAGATTAACCTGAAAGCACTAGTGGGAACACAACGAATATGACTGCACATTTACACCGACATCATCCTAGTGCAAAGACAAAAACAACAAGCACGCTACTAACTTTAGCCGAGTCATTTAGACAGCTGTTAGCACATGATTCTCCTTATGGAGACCTGATATGTTTAATATGCTGCTGAGAATATAGCCCAGAAGAAGCGGATAGTATAGCTTTTATTTTGGAAAGAGACATTTCTCTGTAATAAACTCTCTTTTCCAAAGATGAGTGATTCCTCAATCAGATACAGGGCTCGCAATATCGCTAGCCCGACGTCCCGGAGCTAGCGATTTTTTTCAGTCGGGCTACCAAAATCTATCTCTTCCCTGCCCGTCGGGCTATTGTAGGAAGGAAAATATATGTCAATGCTTTTGCATTCTTTCAGAAATGTAGCTGGGTAATTATGTCATTGGCATCGGTGAGCCACTGTCAATATGTGACATATTGAAGTCGCGTTTGAATTTGCGCTTGTTTTTTGCTTTCACTTTGCAATCGTGCGAACTGTGTATAGAGAGCGACAGCACTGATCTGTGAGTGATGATAATTTGCGCACCAATTCCTCTGACATCGTCTTATTAATCGTTAGCTTACTATGCAAACATGACAAGTGAAATCTCCCGCAGCAAGCTTAAACATGTGAGAGGTTGATCGCGCAGAGAATCGCTGAGCTTATGTGAGTCCGTGTGTAAAAGCAGCAGGATTTATATTTGACTACGATGACCTGGATGACTGAGAACCTTCACAGACAGATATATATTTTAGTTCTGCTGAGCCAAATAAGACAGGTCAGGGTGAAGAAGTGACAGCCAAAGAAAAACTTACCACAAAACGGAGAAGTTATGACAAATGAGACTATAAGGCAAAAAGAAAGTGCAGCTTTATGGTTTCATGGACAAAATAATTTCTGTGGCTGCAATATGACGAGCTAAATAACCAGGGCTGCACATAAGTGGTCCGCAGGTGCGCATTCGCTGTCAAAATAAAAAACACGCACAAGGGTTTTAGGGTTAAATTTAAAAACTGTACTTTTGAGTTAAAATATATATTTATAATTTTAATAAATGACAAATTAAAAAGGCATGAACATTTTTTTGTATCGAAAAAATATCGAACCGTGAATTTTGTTTATCGTTGCACCCCTAATATATATATATACACATACACACACATCAATGTCTTTCATTTGACGTTTCTCAGTTTTTAAAATGTACTTGTTTTTCATGTATTCATTTTATGTTACACTTTAATCCTTTTTCATATTTAATATTCTACTGTGGTAATCCTTGTTCTTAGATTCCTTCCTCCCAGAACTCCAAATAATTTCACACCAGTTGCCCTTAAAGCTTCCAATATGAATTAAATCCGTCAGCTGTCTTTGAAACAACAACTGCTGTGACTTTATGTCCAGAAAAAAGAATCTCAAGCTAAACTGGTGTTGGGCTGTGCTTCCATGTAATACCAGGTTGTACCAGAAGGTGGAGCAGTGCTCCAAGAGCACGTTCTTATTCACAATGGCAGCAAAGAAATGTTAAAAGCAGCACACATCAGGGTCGTTTAAAGATAGCAGATGACTCCTTTTAGTTCATTCAAATTCTATCAAACCTCTACTTTTGGCTGCTCCTTTCACTTTAGTGTATTTACAATATCCTTGAAGTCTACGTGTTGTTTTTTAATGAATTCATTTTGATCCACATGTTCTGTAGCTGTTTTCTTGTTGATTTGAAGTTTGGATTATGAAATCCTGATACTGTTAAATCATTAGTTATATCTGATGAACTGTGCAAAGTTTGTAGGGTGTGAAAAATAAAGAAATGGTCTCACAACAAGTAGTTTGAGCCATGATTTCAGATTCAAACTAATTTAACTGTTCTCAGTATCACAGATGGAGGTTTATCAGAGGAGGAGACTTAGCTGTTTTCCACTCACACTGACCAGGCAGCTCATTAAAAACTCTGGATCGATCTTCCAGGACAAAAAGGTCATAAAATGTTACATTTTTCTCAAACACTTGCTGTGAGTATGAAGTTCGCTGGGGGTGTGTTTAAGATGCTTAAAGGATGAGTTTTCCTTCCAAAGTGCAAACAAACTGTGTGCTTGTTAAAACCTGAAGTGAGATTACAGGAGAGTAAGTTGAGAAACAAAAGTATCTGGGGTGCGGTGTGGCAAGAAGATACTCTGAAACAGAAAATCAAAGTATTGGAGCAGGTTTTACCGTGACCAATCAAAGAAAGCCCGGCAATTCCAAAAGCATCTTTGCCCCTTTTACCATTAATAGATGTAAAGTTTGAGTGCATATGCATGAACCTCATCCAGCTATTACACAGAGGGCACATGGATATCGCTTTGTATTAGTTCTGGTCAATTATGCACCACAATATCCCAAAGCAGTGCCACTGTGCAGGATTTCTGCAAAAAGTGTGGCATAGGCTTTCATTTCATGCCCAGAGTTGGTATCCCCAAAGAGATACTTACTGCGAGTGATGGGTTGGTGGAGCAGCTGAATAAGACTTTAAATTCCATGATTCACAAGAGGAATAGACTCTAATACAGACAGCACTCAGAGACACAGGGACTGAGAGCAAAAAAGACTTTTATTACAGAGTGCGTGCAAGGGGCACTCAGCAAGTTAACCATAAACTGAAGTAGAGTAACAAAGCAAACTATGAATCTACACTAAAAATACTCTTATGGAACACTATGAACTTATAGTATACTGTGAGTAATCGAGCTGGATGAGACAAGGGAAGCAAAACTAGAAACACTGACATGAGACACGGACCTTCAAAATAAAGCCGGAAACACACTGACTGAACTCTAGACATGTAAACTTAACAGCAACTGGGGAGACAGAACATGGGAACATGAAACATGGTACAAAAAGTCACAGTAGACACAACATGGAACACAGGGAAGCCATATTACAAAACCTAAGAACTAAACCAGAATCGTGACACACGGTAACTTCCAGTGCAGGACCCCTGAGGAGTGGGGCGGAATTTTTACGATCACTGTAAATGAGGGGAACGGGTGTAAGCTGGGATTT